TCATTATAACAGATGATGTATAATTAGGTAATATTAGATATCTTATGTACTAAACGGCTGTCATAGATCTCTTCTTAAAAGTGCCTGTCACTATATTTTAGAATAATTTAAAAAAGAATAAAATACTGTTAGAATAAAGCACAGTATAATGAATAGGAGAAAGGAACAGGTTCTAAAAAATGGATGAGACATTGCTTGGTAAATTGACCTGTCAGAAATAGCCCCTCCTTCACTGATATTATAAATGAAAGGCAAGATTATTGTTAATTACAGTTTATGAGCATAGACTTAAGTAGTCAAAATTAAAAGTCACCCACATTTGAGCCAGGTACAGATTTGCTATTATAACGCAGAATAACATTAAAGTTAAGGTTGCATGAGAAATACCAGTCTGCTTTGTTGTATTTCAGATTCTTAATTCTGAAATTTTTCAACTGTGACATAACTTTTTTCCCCAAGATAAGGCTCTAATTCTTCAAGAAATATTATACAGGGACAGAGGGATGTTCAAGAACTTTTGTTCAAAGGAAGATCCTCCCTACAGAAAGCTTTAAGTGCAAAACCACCAACAAAGAAGATGTTCTTTTGTGAGAGAAGAAATAAACTTTTCCCATAATACAGGAAAAGATCTTGCTTTTTTAAATAGCTTTAACCATGGGAAACAGAAGAAGATTGAAAGCTGGAATTTGACATAAAAATAACCCTCACTAAAAAGAAATGCCTATGAGTGTTCTATCAAAAATTGGTTCAGAAAAGCTTTTCAAAAGTGCACTGTCTGCATACATGTCCGAACAGGATTTTTTCTAAGCTTTTAAAGAGCATGGTGAGAGAAGACTGCTCCGAACACGTGTGTCGCTACCTGCACAGGGAGAAGGAAACCCGAAGCCACACAAAAAATTGGTTGTACTTCTGGCTACTGTGCAAAGTTGCTCTTTCCTCAAGCAAAACCAAATTCCATTGCTACTTCACTATTTACAACAGTTATGGAGCAAAGGTTGCTGAATGGCATTAATGGTACGTTTACGTTTTCATTTTCTCAGGGCTGCTTTTAGGATTAAATAGCACTGGAGTTGGCCACGCTTATTTCTTACTCAATTGTTTTCTATTCCTTTTGCTAGGTATCCCTGACACTCTTTTAAAGGTACTGTCTTAACATAAATAAAGCATAATGATTCCATTAAAATAATGGTATACAATGGACCCAGGTGGAGTATCTCTTGCTGTACTGGAAAAGACTTTCCTCCAAATATTCCTGAGTATGGTCTCACATGATTTCGATCTTTCCGGCAGTGCCACATGTCACAGCATGCGCAATATATTGTGAAAATGGTAGCAGAGTTCAGTGTTACCAGAGCTGAGATGCAACATGCAAGCACTCCCATGGGAATCTTGCTTCCGACTTTCCTTAGATTAAATTCAAAATCTTAAAATGTTTTTGAACAAGCTTAGGTTCTCTTTCATACTTATAGAGCACATATCCTGTGGGATCAAAAATGACAGGCATCTGCTTTGGTGAAGTTGGATATAATAAGAGTATGATGACAGGATTTGCATTCTTTCTTTATGCAGAAATGCAGACTTTCTTTTGAAGATGAACTGACAATATCCAAGAAAGGACAGTTCTCTTTCTTGGTATAAAAACAGGTGCGATTGAGAACAGGGGCTTGGTTTCATTTCACAGTCTAATATAAAAGCTCATTAGCTCAGGGATCTTCAGCTATCCCAAAGAGATGCAGCGTTTTTACCGCCCTGCTTCGTTACAACTGTGTTTTCAGAACCACAGAATGGAATTTCTTTTTCAATCTTCATTTCTACAGCAAGGAGGTGGGAAAGGTTATTATCATGTTGCTAAGGGAAATGTATCATCCCATCATCAAAAACCAGTATTATAGACTGACAGTATTTGGAGAGGGTTATGGCTTGTAAAACCAGTCATTCACATTACTACTGGAACAGTATTGATCTCTCTCTTGGAGTGAGTCAGGGAGAAATAACAGAAACTGTTACAGTTGGCGGCCGGTCACGAGCGGTGTTCCCCAGGGCTCAGTACTGGGGCCGGTCTTGTTTAATATCTTTATTGATGATCTGGATGAGGGGATTGAGTGCACCCTCAGTAAGTTTGCAGACGACACCAAGCTGGGCGGGAGTGTTGATCTGCTCGAGGGTAGGAAGGCTCTGCAGAGGGACCTGGACAGGCTGGATCGATGGGCCCA